AAAAAAAAAATAATTATAAAGCTGCGCCATGAACATATGCACTAAATACACTCTAATATTACACTCCTGAGCACCAAGGAGTGTAGCATATAAACGAGATTTATATTTTCTACATAAATAATAAATTTATATATATATATATATTATATATAGTCTATATTATAAATTCATAATATCATTTCACCTTTTTGTAAAGAATCCTTATAATATTTCCGAGAGATGGCGCTGCGATGCAATAATTCGTGCTTCGTTCTGCAAGTTGCAACTACATCGTAAACCATCCTTATGCAATTTAGATAGAATTTAATGTAATTGATGTTTTACCAGGTCTGTGTCCTGATAACACAGTCATGAAGATTATGGATAAAGAAGGTAACGTTAGCTTGTAATAGGATGACTGCGATTTAAGTGTGCCTGTGTCTGTGAGTGTGAGTGTGACCATGCCGTGCCGTTGCATTCATTTGCAAGGCCGTTGATTATCATGATCATTTCAATAATACATTGGCCATAAATCCAGTATCAATCATGTCATGTTAGCCAAGGACTCAAGGAGCTGTCATTGTCAATGTACAGTTCCTTGATGTTCCTTGATTGTTTGCTATTAATGATAGTACAAATTACAATATATATGAAGCTTTGCAGTTGTACTTTGTAACAAAACAGAATAATTGTGGCTAAATCACACTATAGTCTATAGAATATCTGTTTACTATTTTCACGACTATTTCAATTTTTTCAGGAATAATTGAAAGCTTTAATGAAGCAATGCAGCAAGACCCAGATCTGTCGGTCGCCATTGCTGCGCTGCAGTCGCTGGTGAAATATATAGAGTATAGCTCTGGTATGTATATGTGTGCGAACATCTCCGCACCATTGTCCAGTCTATCGTTGCTCCCCCCCAAGAGTACTGAGTGGCTTATTACTGGCCAGAAGTAGCATTAATGGAAGGGAGGTGTGACTTCAATAAACAACGGCGAAATTCGTCATTTACTAGCCTTAGAATACCTACGAATTACTACGCGTAACTCAACCAAACTTGAGCTCAAATCGTACACAGTCTCTAGTACCCACGCCTCCACACCCGCACACCGCACACACATTCGTTCGCCTAGCCATCGAGCCAAAATTGACTCCATAACCCGCCTAACTTGAAACAATAGGCAGCCTACTAACGACTCTTGCGCCACTTCGATCTTGGCAGCCCTCGGCGATGCGCCCGTGCTGGCTCGCTGGGGCATTGCGACCTGGAGCTGGCCCTGCTCGATTGCGGTGCGGCATGGCGTGCCGTGGGGGGATACCAGCTGTAAATAGGTCAACGATTAGCTCGCCGCCCAGTTTTGCGTCCGATGCTCCAGTCTCCAGCGGGAACCACACCGCATCGCAAGGCCGCTTGCAAGAGAACTCCAGTGCCGCCAAGAGTCGTTAGTAGCTGCCTATTTTTCAAGTTTAGTGGGTTATTGGCAGCTCGATCTGCTGCCACAGAATGCGAGAATCGTGTCGTTATGTTTTAGTCTGCTATCTCCGGATTCACCGGTTGTATATGAGGAAACGATTCGCACGCATGCTAGCGCGAATGTATGTGGTACGGATTTGCAGCTCAGGTTGGCTTGAGTTAGCACGCTAGTACAGTAGGTACTCTAAGGCTAAATAAATGCACAATTTCCCTTGTTTATGTAAGGGCACAGCTCCTTCCCTATTATCTACCTTCTCGATACTGCCGTAGTGTGGAATGGAGCAGCTGCCTCCCATTCTCTTGTCCACTGTCTGTCTTCCCTAAAATTACACCCGTACCTATCCCTTTTCCAGTTTAAAAATGACCAGGAGCACATTTACCCTGTAGGTGGCGCAGCATGTTACTTCGCTAGTTTTAACGAAGTCAGCCAACTGTTCTATCCAGTAGGTGGCTGAACCGGCCACCTCGCAAGTTCAAATTAACTTGTCGCCAGATAAGAAATAGCTCATGCTCGTTATGATTGATTAACCTTTCTGCAGTCACTATAGCGTGATAGGTGTGAGTCATGACACGCGATCATTGCAGCGGACACAATGGCCGAGTTGCGTCAGGAACTTGTGGAAGCCATCGTGGCTGTGAGGAAGGCTGGGAGCCGAGTGACGTCCATCAGCTCTGGCTGTGACCTGTTCCTACGCTTCATCACGCTAACCGCACTCGACAATGCTGTACGTACTCTTGCTGACGTCATTGCTGGCATAATTCGTGTCATAGGCAGTCATTGTTGACGTCATTGCTGGCATAGTCCATGTCATAGGCAGTCATTGTTGGCGTTATTGCTGTCCTCGTATGTGTCATAGGCAGTCATTGTTGACGTCATTGCTGGCATAGTCCATGTCATAGTCATGTTCACGTCATTGCTGGCATAGTCCGTGTCATAGGCAGTCATTGTTGGCGTTATTGCTGTCCTCGTATGTGTCATAGGTTGTCATTGTTGACATCATTGCTGGCATAGTCTGTGTCATAGGCAGTCATTGTTGGCGTTATTGCTGTCCCTGTATGTGTCATAAGTTGTCATTGTTGACATCATTGCTGGCATAGTCCGTGTCATAGGCAGTCATTGTTGGCGTTATTGCTGTCCTCGTATGTGTCATAGGCAGTCGTTGTTGACATCATCAAAGGCCTTTTCCATGTAATAGGCTGCCATGTTAACATTATTACTGGTGTTATCTGTATTATAGATTGTCTTGCTGATATCATTGCTCCTAATCCAGAAAGTAAAGAAAAATGTAGTTAATCTCAGCATAAAAGTAGAGGCTCTGTGCAGTATGGGTGAACTTAGGTTACGGTCAACACACAGGTCAAGAATGCCCGTCTAAAGTGACGTGTTATGTCGCGCTGTAGCTCAAGTTGCTCATTCTCAAGTTCCTTAGACTACTACTTATTTCCTGCCTCCCTTGGCTCCCCCCTTATTTCATAAGATGAATGTCAGGGAAACAAAACAATGTTACAATTTTCTATACGTAATATTGTTACCATTCATTTCATCTCCAATCTTCAATTATATAGGAGAAATTTATAGAAATTAATTAATATATTTAATATAAATATAATTAATATTTAATATAAATTAAATAGGAGAAATTTTCCTACATTCTAGTCACAGGATTTTGATTGATCAGCATAGGTTCAATATGATTATTATAATATGATATGATTTTGTGGAATTGAATGCTGCAATCATTGTGTGTAAATTCTGTGTTTTAGGAGTTTCACGTTTGCAAGAAGATCCTGGTCAAGCGAGGCCACATGTTCCTGGATCGCATGGCATCTTCCCGGCAGAAAATCGCCACACTGGCTGTTCCATTCATCACAGATGGCTCTGTAAGTTCGTTCACTTCATTTAAAATTACTCGAGCACGGCAGTATACAGCTCATCGATCCTAGAACTGAATCATAATATTGGAACGTGTGTACAGATGCGAGCATATCAGAACTTATAACAGGATGTTATATATAATAGGAAAACGTTGAGATTTGTCAAACTGCGTTTAGATGAGATGTAGTTCTGAGGCAATTAGCTGTTCCACACTTCAATTTCACCCACGGTCGTGTAGGCTGCAGTTGGTACCCATGATGACATCACGGTACGTTCGTGTACCCATGATGACATCACGGTACGTTCGTGTACGTTGTAGTCTGTATTCGTGATGAGATCAGAGGATGTTCGTGTAGGTTGCAGCTGATATATACTCGATGACATCATGTGTTATTCGTGTACGTTGCAGCTGGTGTACACACGATAACATCACGTGTTATTCGTGTACGTTGCAGCTGGTGTA